ATGGGAAAAGCCTTCTGGACAAGGGGGACACACAACTAACTTCTGAGAATTACTGTTCTGTTAAATTTTCAGTCTCTATTGGAAACTAGAGTCAAACAGCTTATGGACTGGAATCAAAGGAAGCCAGTCATTAGATTAAATGGAGACAAATACAGAACGTACTTAAGAGCATCACCAAGGAATTACTCAGTCATCCTAATGCTGACAGCTCTTGCACCACACAGACAATGTACCATTTGTAGGTAGGAAGTTTATCACAACATTGTCTCCACTGAATCCAACATAAAGTTTATGAGAATAACAAATTCGATCACCACCAAAAGAAGGTGTTTATTGATAATTTCTATGCAATATCCTGCATTAACAACTGTATCACTAAGTGGAAGTTGAGTGCCTAAAACATCCAGGAGCTTCCACTATTAGCAGCCAGCTCTTAGATGGAGTCTTCTCCTATCTGCACTGAATTAACTGAAAACTGCATTCATCTTAACCAATCAGAACTGAGAAATTTTTTCATGTATATTATTAGGGCTATAATCACACAGTGATAAACAAAATCTAACAGCTACAAAGCAGGAGTGTGCCTGTGCCTGTATTGATATTATAAGGAGAAATTCTGTCTCTATCTCTTATGGGAATTTCAGGGTTAAGAACAGTGCAGACTAATGCGACTACATTTGCAAATTGTATTATAGTTTTGATTTATCTGAGAACTTTGTTTTAAGCACCTGGGTTAAATGTCTTTGAAGTATTTGCAAATAAAAGTATAACATTACAAGCTTTCCTTCCAGCTTTTTTTTCTCTGACCTCTTCTATGGAGGGATTCCTGTTGTAAATATGTTGGTGTTCACACTTCAAAGGCATTTTTCATGAAGAGAATATTTTCTAGTTACATTTTGAGCCTGGTTTGTAGGTATATTTGCAACGTTTTTGTAGCTGCTCTGGTACCATTTTGTAATTGCTATTACTCACTTTGCTGTGAGGAGAAAAAATTAATTATTTATGTAACTTTACTGGCAGAGATGTGATATTTTATCCTCAGCACAATAGAGACTATGCTTTAAATTTGCATCTCTTTGTAAAGAAGAGAGGAACTGTTCACATTAAAAGCCTTTTGCATGGTTACTTAAAAGTGCCAGAACATACAACCAGCAAGCCTTTTAATTTCACTCAAGTTCTGTTTGACCATTGATAGCTGTACATGATTACTTTGAGAGTTTTTGGGTACTTATACTGTTTATTTAGCTAGAGATAGATTGAAATGCCAGTTCAATTACCTTGTAGGATACAGTACCAAGTTAGGTTAAAGGGAGGATATTTAACAATTATTGGATTCGGCTTTCGCAGGATAGCAATAATTATCAAGGCCAAAGCTTGAGTTATCTGCTGAAACCAAAGGCTGAGGTGAATAACACAAACTGAGGCCTTGATAATTATTGCTATCATGTGAATGCTGAATCCAATAATTATTTCATTATGCATATTCCTGAGCTGCAGTTGTAAAGACAATAAAGGTGCATAAAACTATTGTCTGTAGGTATGATGTCACTTCTATGTCTATAAAATGTATTCTCTGTAGGTATGACTTAAGAGAATGAATAATAGTAGTTGTTAATGTTCTTAATTTGTTGCTATCTAATGGCATTTTCTTTGAAGTACTCACAGCAAATGCATAATTTTAAAATGCACAGGAAAATTGCTTAACATGTTTATGTTTTATTGTTGTTGCTTTTTTTTGTAGTTAGGCATGTTAGTTTCATGGTGAAAAGATATTTCCTCTTTAGTGAGTAAGGCACAGTTCTTTTCTTAAGATTCTTTTAACAATTCTTCTGCAAGAGTTCTACGAATTTGCTTTCAAGTTCACAAATCATTTGTTAATAATATTGACTAAACTTCTTTTATTTTATGGTTTCTCATTTTGTATTCTTTTTGCTTGTCTAGCGATGTTTTCTTTTTCTCAAGAAGAATGATACTATTTATCATGCATAAAGTGGATAGATACTACCTTAGTGTAGCTTACCTTGGAATATTTTGTAAGGCTTTTTAAAAACAGTAAATAAATATTTGGGTATGTTAATATCTTTTGTCTTTTTTCCTATATTATTTCCTCTCTAAGGCAAAGTACCTTAACTAAATAAACTTAACTAAATAACCAGACAAAAAAGTTGAACTCCCCATGATGAGCTACAGAATATCTCAGTTTCCATCCCTCTGCAACCCTTTCATTAAATGCCTTCCTTTCAGAATTTCTGTTTGACTTGGGCCAACAATGAAAATCATTTCAAAATACTTTCGCGAGCCTTTGTAGCCTCTTATTTCTGCTATTTCAGAAATTTGTTCTTAGCACCCACGCCACCCTTTTATCGGAGTAAACTGAAAGGGGCCTGGTTACCAACCTGGAAGCTCCAACATGGCGTCTCGCGGTTGGCTGCTGCTCCTAGCGCTTTTATTTGGCCTTTCAGTCTGTTATGGCAAGAAGAAGGTCTCAAAAGAGGTACGGAACCGTTTAGATTGAATAACAGTTAGGGTAGATCTTCCGAGAAATCGAATCGTTCCAGAAACGCCAAACTGACGCTTGATTCGACAGACCGAATCTGCGGTCTTCTTGTCAATAACCTGCTTTCATTGACAGATGCCGAATAAATGATTTTCGAAAAATTGTTTCAACCATATTTCCGCAGTGCAAACCTAGTGAATTGAAGCTTTTTTTCTCGTGATAATTAGAGTCACTTTGATGATTATGATTTTAATTGTGAGTTGAAACTGTTGTTTCAATCAAGTTCCTCTTTGTTTCGTTCTGAAGTTACTCCCGCTCCCAGGAATGACTTGACTTTCAGTTTAGAGCTAAGGGGACGAACAGGGAAAGAAAAAAAAAATTGGTGTCTTTTTAAATTTTGTTCTGAATTTACTCTTTTTTTATTTAAATTCTCGATTTGCAATTTTTAGCTTGGTAAATCTGTCAATTTGTTGTCATAGTTAATAATTTGAATAATTGTTGGAAAATATACCCAACTGATCAACAGTCGCATGGTTTTTGGAACAAAGCTTGCTTTTTAAAGTGAAATCATAAGCCAAAACTATCTTTTTCACAAAGTACTTGGATATGAATGGTTAGCTATTTAAATCTGGTACATACATGCATAAAGGCTTTCCCCTCAAAATTCTAAATCTCTCAATGCCAGACTGACCCATTTTTTGGAAAATTACCTCAGTAAATTATTTGTTCTCTTTTATTATTATATTTTTTGCCCAACCAATCAACCCACGAAACAAACAAAAGTAGATGAGAAACAAAAAAATTATGGGAAAAGCCTTCTGGACAAGGGGGACACACAACTAACTTCTGAGAATTACTGTTCTGTTAAATTTTCAGTCTCTATTGGAAACTAGAGTCAAACAGCTTATGGACTGGAATCAAAGGAAGCCAGTCATTAGATTAAATGGAGACAAATACAGAACGTACTTAAGAGCATCACCAAGGAATTACTCAGTCATCCTAATGCTGACAGCTCTTGCACCACACAGACAATGTACCATTTGTAGGTAGGAAGTTTATCACAACATTGTCTCCACTGAATCCAACATAAAGTTTATGAGAATAACAAATTCGATCACCACCAAAAGAAGGTGTTTACTGATAATTTCTATGCAATATCCTGCATTAACAACTGTATCACTAAGTGGATGTTGAGTGCCTAAAACATCCAGGAGCTTCCACTATTAGCAACCAGCTCTTAGATGGAGTCTTCTCCTATGGCTGGCAAATCCTGGCAACCCAGCCATGAGCCCCCACACAGGAAAGGGAAACAGGCACCTGTCACACTGAATAAACAGTGGAAAGAGGGAGGGAATGGGTGGGGAAAAACTGCCTGGGAACACTGCAAGTATGCACTCAAAGCACACGCAAGAATGCCTCAAACAAAGGGCACATAGAATTCTGATGCTTGAGCATAAGCAAAAATACCGCTAACTACTAAAGAATGCTGATGCTCTTTGTTTTTAACTCTGTTAAATTGCATTTTACTGCATGAAAGGTGGTATCATCATTGGGATATTCTTTGATTTAAAACCAAATTCTCAGAACCTAAATGAACCCTTTAAACCCTAAGAGTGACTAAAATCCAATTTTTCCTTACAAAATAATTATCACCCCTGAATCACTCATGAGAATTTAGGAAATGATCACTGAGTGTAGGAGCTCTTGATGTGGAACAAATTCTCCTTGTCAGCACCCAAGGAAATGTAAAGAGGGAAGTAGGGAGAATATGCATACTGACGTTGTCAGGGGGTAAAGGGTTTAACGGATGGATGAGAGATGGGAGAACTGAATACAGTTGAAAATGTAACGTGAAATTTTGGGAATGAAATCTTTGGCGGGAGTGAAAGGATAAATGTCATTGGAAATGTAAAGAAAACAGTGTGGAGAACAT